AAGATTTTATTTATTTATTTGAAAGAGAGCAAGCATGAGCAGTGAGGAGGGGCAGTGGGACAAGCAGACTCTCCACTGAGTGAGGAGTCTGATGCGGGGCTCGATCCCAGGACCCTGGGATCATGACCTGAGCCGAAGTCAGACGCTCAACCAACTGAGCCACCCAGGTGTCCCTCTGGAGGTGTTTTTACTTTCCTTTCTGCTGTTTTTAGGACTCAAAGGAACTGGCACTTTAATTTCGATTTTATAGTTTGTTTTGCTGCCATCAAAAGAGAATTTGTTCTTAGTTGATCAGTTAATGCCAGAATTAGAGACTGGAAACTATAATTACTAGAATTCCTCATCCAGACACACATTTATATATACATCTATATTTAAAAAGTTATCTAGTAAAATGTCATTTATATGAAAACCCCAGAACAGGCAAATCTATAGAGACAGAAAATAGATGAGTGGTTTCAGGGTTGGGGAGAAGGGGGAATGGGAAGTTCTGTGGATGGGTGTTTCTAACTAATAAACTGATGGGGGGGTTTCTGCTATTAGAGTTTTTCTTTTGGAGGCAATGAAAATGTTCTGCCATTGGGTGATGGTAGTACAACCTTGTCAATATACCAGAAAACCACTCAGTTTTACACTTTAACATGGTAACTTTTATGGTATGTGAATTATATCATAATAAGTCATCAAACAACTATCTGTTCTTTATTCTTAGCAAGATTCAAGAAGAAATATTGATTAGCCAAATAAATAAACTGATGGAGAAGCTGTCAAACACCCATATAACTATGAGATCCCACCATAGGAGTGACTTAGGCCACAAAGACTGCAGGAATTCAGAGGCAAGAGCATCCAACCTGAGTGGGAACAATTTTCAAGAATAGCTTCATGAGTCATTACCCCTGCCTCGCTTCCCCTGGTGGAAGATATACCCCTGAGGATATAATCTCATGTCACTGTTGTTCTCAGAACCTCTTCTGTGACCCATGGCATTAGTCATGGTCTCACTTTATCTCTGCCTGTACAGAGAGTGAGCTGCCTGAGGGCTGGACTGGCTTTTATTTATCTTCTTTTTTTTTTTTTAAAGATTTTATTTATTTATTTGACAGAGACAGAGATAGCGAGAGCAGGAACACAAGCAGGGGGAATGGGAGAGGGAGAAGCAGGCTTCTTGCCGAGCAGGGAGCCCGATGTGGGACTGGATCCCAGGACCCTGGGATCATGACCTGAGCTGAAGGCAGACGCTTAACGACTGAGCCACCCAGGCGCCCTTTATTTATCTTCTTATTGTCAGAGTGTCTAATGTATTGCTTTGTACATGGCAAATGTTTAGTAGTTGTTTACCCAGATTTCACCAACAAGGCATTTCTGAAAGCAGTGCTTTATTATCCCAGGCATACAGAGGTTATGGATAGCACAGCCTCTTCAATAACATGCTCCATTCATTTGACTATGAAGAGTGGTAACCATGTCTGGTGGTTGGGCCTCCCCAGATAGATCATTGAGTATGTATGGTACTAAGGACAGAGCTTAAATTCTGGAAAAAGAATTCTGCCCCACTCCCCACTACTCAGTATCTTTGTTTTGTTCAAGTTCTTCACCTCCCTCTAAGCTTCAGTTTTCTGTCCATAAAATGGGATAATAGTTATGTCCTGAGGTGGTTTTGTGTATTTAACAGTGATGACGATAATTACCAATTAACACTTTTCTGTTAGCAAGTGGTTAATATGTTTATCATGAGATATTATTGTGTGGTGTATGGGAATATTTTAAGAGAAGGACAGAAATTCTGTATTCTATTATGAGTTCTGTTGGAGATGAGACTTTCTGACCAGCTGATCGTATCTTGTGTGCATTGGTGTGTCTGCCTACATGGCGATGGGGAATTACATTAATGGATGTGTTTCAGTTTAATCATTGGTGCTACTCTGATATCTTCTGTTATATTCTTTCTTCTAGGATCTAAAGAAGTACCACTTCTACTACTGGTTTTGCTTCCCTGCTCTCTGCCTTCCAGATAGTATACCCCTCATTCAGGGGCCAGTGGGCTTGGATCAAAGGTTTTCACCAAAACAGGTATCAACAAGTAAAATAAAATGCAGACAAAATTGGGTTTAACGCATTTGAGTACTTTAATTCATTCTAAAGACAGATAGGCACTTGTCTGAATGGAGAGATGGTCACCATGGAATCCTGCAAAGATGGTACTAGGAGCATACTTATTTATAAAATGTTTGTAAAAATCATTTTGAAGGAGTAGTGAGTGATACTTTTTCAAGTTTTCAGTGACATTTGGTGAAAGGCTCAGCTGGTAGGGAGAAGTTATACGAACATGTTGAAAGTCTGCAAGAATTTGCCAAAATGTAGTTTTCACTTTCACTGTAGAGAACCCTAAGGCAGTATACTTTGAGAAGAGTCTTTAAAAACAAATAGAAGACATTCTACTACCCTCACACCAAGTTGTCGAACTTCTACGTCAGGAATGGTACATGCAGAGCGAGTCTTTTTTTTTTTTTTTAAAGATTTTATTCATTTATTTGACAAAGAGAGACACAGCGAGAGAGGGAACACAAGCAGAGGGAGTGGGAGAGGGAGAAGCAGGCTTGGCTCAATCCCAGGACCCTAGGATCATGACCTGAGCAGAAGGCAGACGCTTAACAACTGAGCCACCCAGGCGCCCCCAGAGCTAGTCTTTGTGGTCTAAGAAAGACAATAAGGTCATCCGAGATGGTCCTGAGGAGAGCAAATGAAAATAATCAGGCTAGTAGAACATAGACCCTAAACCAAAGAATTCTGATTGTCATTGAAGCGAGGATTGAGTGGCAAGATGATTTGAAATCACGAAGCACTAGGAAGGAGCCCTTATTGATGAAAAAATAGTAATAAGTTTGTTTAGGTCAAATCGAAGGTTGTAGTTTTGTGGAACTAATTTCCCAAGAAGAGATATAAGTGGAGGAAAAGGATTATGCCATGGGACTGACTACTGATGGATACAGGGTTTCTTTTAGGAGTGACATAAATATTCTAAAATAATTGCACTGATAGTTGCATAATCCTGTGAACATGCTAAAAACAGCACTGAATTATGCACTTTACGTGGGTGAGTTTTATAGTAAGTGAGGTATGTCTCAATAATGCTGCTATTTTATGGAAAGGTTCAGGGTAAAATTCATCAGTGGTGGATTCAGTGCTTGGTTATTACAGGAGAGAAATGTTTGGAGCTCTCTCTACACCTTTGTGATTAACATCTTAGGGAGCCACCATCCTGCACCATAAAGTGTCTCCTCATACCCCTAAGACACACCACCATGCACGTAGAAAGTGTTATATAGAAGTGAATATTATACTTCTATGTTCATTTGCTATAGAAGAATAACACGGTTTTGCTCAGTCATTTCTAGTCTTCTGGCTTTAAAGTACCTTTTATGTTAATTTTTAGCTCAGAACTAGATATGTAATTGTCTAGAGAATAACTCAATGTTTCCTGTTCTTAGATTCAAGCCCTTGGGTGTGCATATGATGCTCTTTGTCAAACAGAAGGAGTCCCAGCACTACCTTACTTCTTAATCAAGTATGATGAGAACATGGTGCTGGTTTCCCTGCTTAAACACTACAGTGATTTCTTCCAAGACCAAAGGACAAAGGTCAGAGAAACTCTGAGTTTTGTTTTATTATCCCTTAAAAAAAATCTGATGTTCATGTCTTAATAGACCACTGCAAAATTCAAACTCACTTAGATTTCTTTAGCCCTCCACGGAATGTTGTGGAACATTCTTTATCTTCATGCCCACCCCTGCTGTTCCCAGATCAGCTTCTCCAGATTTTCTTAGCTCTGTTACACCTCAGAGTAATTTTGGGTTCCTCCCTTCCTATTCATGATAAAGTTATTTCAATTTTCCTTCCTGATATATTTTGTATCTATATTTTAACTTATTTCCAGAGTTACCACCATCGGTCAGGCCCTGATTACCTCTCTCCCAGACAGTTAGAGTCTTCTTGCTTCTATCCTGTGTACCACCACTTGCCTCAAACTGCTCACATTCACCCTGTCCTTCAGTGATCTGGTTAATGGTGTCTTCCTTCTAGCTCCAGGCCACCTCTCCTGCCTCATCTTCCACTATTTTCCTCATAAACCATTGCTCAGCTGAGTTTGCCTGTTTTTTTCAGAGAACCCCCCCTTACCCCCACCCTCACTAATCAAGTCTACCTAGGGATTTTCCTTTTTTTTTTTTTTTTATTTAAAGACTTTATTTTGACAGAGAGAGAGAGACAGCGAGAGAGGGAACACAAGCAGGGGGAGTGGGAGAGGGAGAAGCAGGCTTCCCCGCTGAGCAGAGAGCCCGACATGGGGCTCGATCCCAGGACCCTGTGATCATGACCTGAGCTGAAAGCAGACGCTTAATGACTGAGCCACCCAGGCACCCCTACCTAGGGATTTTTCTATATCTCTCTTTGACCTTGCACTGTATCATCTGAAACATGTTCTATGTGTGAAAATCCTAAGAAACTCTTCTTGTTGGAATCCTAGCTCTACAGTGAAGCCTTCTCACAGGGTGGCCTGGCCGTGTGTGATCTTTCCTTTTCTGATCTCACTGCACTTACTTTCTGATCCTCATTTACTGTTCTGTTCCCTTGTCCAAATTACTTTATGTTCCATACTAGATGGTAAGCTCCTAAAGGGCAGAGCCTGTGTCTTAATATATCTGCATCTACAGAGTGTCTAGAACTGGTCTTAGGTCCTCAATAAAATTCTTCTGAACAAATGAAAAAGTACTGTAAGTGTCTTTCAGAAGTGTATATAGTGAGCTATCTCAGCCATATAAGAGATTGTAAATTAAAAATAAACAATTGATGAATTTTATGAAGTTACAAAGTCAAGTGGGATAATTTCATTAGCCATGTAGATATATCAGAGTTGAGAAAAGAGAGACCTCTAACAGATGCCCTGATTATTCCTTAGCCTGAGCTTAAGATACTTTTTTTTTTAAGTACATTTTTTTCTCAACTACATTAGCATTTTCCTTCACAAAATAATACTATATTAGGTGCTAGGCATTCTGTTTTCTATCCTCTTCTTTTTTTTTTATCTTTTTGAAAAATACCAGCTGTGAGCCACTAAGTGACTGGAACTCACAAATAGCATATCACTTTAGTTTGGACAGTGCTGATTGCCCAGTTTGAGAATACTGGCCGGTAAATGAACTGCACTAAGTATGGTTCCATTTGTGATTTTTATTTCCAGCTGCATCTTTCTGTTTTTAAATTCTCTTGAAGCTATTCAACCATTATTTTAAGGTTTCAGGTTTTTTGAAGTAAACATTTTGTATATTTCCTACTAATCTTTTTCTATTTTTTAAAGACTAAGATGGTACCATATTCTCTTTTATTGTAGCATTTAGCATAATACTGTTACACTCTGTATCAACATCCTTTCTGATAGATAACATCCAATTTTTGACATTTAGTTTTCTCATACTTCTTCACTATTAGGAGCCTCCCTGTGCATCAAATTCCTGCCCTCCCCCCACTTATCTTGAATTATTTCCTAGTTTCTAGATAGAGAATTACTGACTTAAAGGGTTTGGACATTTTAAGGTCTATGATCAATGGTGTGCTGGTAAATGTTTGACAGCTGGCTCTCATGTGGGGCAAAACCCTGATAGTGTATGTTTGCTTCTTTCCATGGTGCCAGTACTCCCACCATGGCCGAGTTGGGGCTGCCAAAGTGAAGTCACAGAGCACAGAGATGGGAAGAGATGGTAACAGTTGGCTTTCCCCAGTCTGTTCAGGTCACCTCTGGCCCACTGCTTATCATAACTGTGGCTCACAAACTCTGCTGGTTTTCCCTCCTGCCAGCCGTGCACCCTGATCAGCACTGGGATTTTACACATTTTACACATTTGCATCAGTTAAAAATGGGCCTTGTTTACGTGCTTCTTTCCCTCGGTGAGATGTTGATGCCACTTACTGGTCACGGTGGCAACTGCATTGTTAACAATTAGTTGTCTTTTAAGCCGGTGTTTGTGATTCCATCAAAAACAGCCCGTATCGCTGTTCCGTTGCCAGTCTTTAGGGAAAGCTTGCTTGAGTCTTCTGCTTTCTTTAGAGCAGTTATTGAAGATTGGATGTTTGGGAAACATTTTGTAATTTTAACAATATTAGCCTTTAATTCTAGGGTTTTAAAATCTTTGGACAAGAGCGATAGCAAAGGAACAGCAATTGGTATGCTATTAGCGGGGCTCTTTCTTCACTTAGCAAGCTCCGCATCTTGGCAGCCGTCTGTGACATCGCAGCGCATTAGATACTTGGATTTTCTATCCTGTACTTTTAAAACATATAATCGCCTTTACACATTTCCTGTTATACCGAGTATTTGAGTAATAGATGGCCATTTGTCAGATAAGTGTGTTTTAAGGGATCGGTGTGGAAATTTCTCCAGCTGAAGATACTCAAGTTGACAATTTTGCCCTCTTTTCTTTCTCACATTGTACTTTTTCAGCAAATAGCTGGGTGGACCATAGCCAGAGCATGACTGAGCTACTTCAACGAATAGTATGCTCTCAGCCAAGTAGAAAGGAGCATTTATTTCGACAACCTTCTAAACAAATTTTTTTTTTCCAATTACATTTTGCTTCTTTCTACTGATTTGTATTATAAAAGAAGTGATTTGTCCAACTTCACACAATGACTGTGTGACAAAGCCAGTTGGAGAACACAGAACTCCTAGCCCATAATGATTTCTGATTGCCACTACCACCAACAAAAAATCTATTTACCCAAATAGTTAAGCTGGCTTACCTAGCATTGTGCTGACTAATTCCTACAGTGACTGAAGTTCCTGATTTGGTTCCGAAAGCACTTAAAGATTTTGGAATCACTTTTGAATCATCAAAGAAATATAAATGATGTTCAGCCTAATGTCAAATGGATTCTATCATTTTCCTGTCTGGTTGCTTGCTTTTTGTACTCATGCATGCCTCACGTGGGTAGGAGAGTTACTTTAAGGCATCTCAAAGTCAACCTCCCTTTGTGGTTGATAGATTTCTCTTCAGCAGTTCATTCCTGCTCTGTAGCTCATCTTAGGTCAGGTTGCTCTAAGAAACTTATTCCTGTTTTTTTCTGCTCAGAAAAAGTTTTTTTTTTTTACTACCTTCCTATCTCATTGCCTTTGTATTTAGTGTCAGAAATGTACTCATTCTTTGAAATTAGGTACCCACTTACAGTATCGAGTTAGGACATTTTTGTTTCTATAAATTCATTTAGTCCCAACTCTACACTTATAGATGATAAAACCTGAATGTAGAAAATATTTGATAAACTGGAACTTATCCCCTTTTTTTCTCTGCCAGTTAGGAAAAAGGGAACCTTGAGACGGAAGGTAGATCACTATGTAACGATAACAGATTGAACTGAACAGGAGGGTCAGTGCAGGTACAACAGAGTTTATTTACGTTGCTGTTATAGTTAGCATCTGTTGAGTGCTTGCCTTGTTTCCAGTCTCTGTGTCCAGGCAGAGTTCTCCAAAGAGGGGAAACGTAAGGCATAGAGAGATTGTATGAGAGTAAATAACTCAGGGCATCTGCTAAGAGTCCAGGTTTATTGAGTCACATTTGAAAATTGAAACTGAGAGTCTCAATATGAAGGGCATTTTCTGGATTGATGCTATGTAGATTCTTCCTAAGTGAAAATTGAGTAGCCTTTAGATACCCAGTAAGATTGAGCCTAATAAGTCTGTGTTGTCTTATAACCTATGTAGGATTTTGTTTCTCTTTAATGTTCTATAAAGTTCTATAATTCTGGAGCTAGAAGGAATCCTTTGAGATGAAATGATACAGCCCCTCCATTTTATAGGTAAGGAGAGAATATCCCCATGGTCACTTTTCTTTACTACGTTATTATGCTTGCCTACTCACACCCCAAGGTCTGAAAATCAGTTAGCAGTAGAAGTAGAACACATGCCTGCTGACCTCTGGCTTTTTCTACCACATCGGGTCATTTTCTTCTTCTAAGCTGTTTTAAATGTTACAGAAGTAGAAGGCCAATCTCTCCCTTCTCCCCCTTTTCTTGCTGGGTAATAGAGTTGTAAATATCTTTGATAAATTTTTTAAAAAGGTGAAGTCGAAGCGATGATTACTTAATAAATATAGTTTGCCAGCAGATGCCATCTGTCATGATTGATAGAAGGGAACCCAAAGCTGAAAGGTGTCCCAGGTGGTGGTGGTGGCCAACGGGACCAGAAGAACTCAAGGGAGACAACTGCTTCATTCAGAGGAAGCCCTGAGGGGAGTGCTTCATTCTTCAAGTTCTCTTGCTTCTCAGAGCAAGTCCTTTGAGATTAAACTGTCACATCCTCCCCAGGAGATTCCCAGTGTTCAGATGTCACTGAAGGGGGACCCTGTACTGTTGAGAAAGGAAAGGGGAGGAAAAGGAGCCAGCCAAGATGCTGCACCATGGCTTTATATGTGGGCTTCAGATCTCTGTTGGTCAGCCATCACCTCCCTCCCTCCAGGGGCCCCCCAGGATCCCTGCCCAAAGATGGGGTGTAAGAGGCGGGGCTTTCCATACAGTGGGGCCGGGAGAAATGGCCAGTTCTGTCATTTATTCAGCACAATTTGCTGAGCATTCTGTACTATGCCAGGTACCAGGGATGGAAAGAGGAGCATGATAGACATTGCTCGAGCCCTCACAGAGAGAGGCCAGCAAAGAAACAGATATGAAATGCATCCTGTAGTTCCTCCATTCTAAAATGCATTTTGCTTCACATTTTAATTTTCAAAGTCAGGAATTGCTTGCAGTTGTGTATATTTAATGTAGTGGTTTTCCCCCATTTTTTCTATCCGGTTTGAAAGTACATTTTATAATCTGTGGTGCCTTTGAATCAAGAAAATACCATGCTTCAACAAATAATCACAGTTACCATAGGAAAAATATAGGATGCAACAAACCCCATTTTAAGCACTCCTAGACCTGTGGTGGCTAGTGCTGAAAAGAATAGTGTACGTAAGAATCACATGAGGAGGTCACAGAGCACGTGGGTATTGGTACCTCGGGAAGTCTGGGATGGGGCACAGGTCATGCAAGTTCAAAGAGCAGCCTGGACAGTTCCGATGCAGTTTGTGTGTGGTGGACCATATTTCGAGAAATTGCCGCCTACTCTCCAGAGGTCTTTGTACTCGCTGTACTTTAGAATCACCTGGGGAGCTTTTACAAACTAATGCTCAAGCCACACCCCAGACTGGCGAAATCAGAACCTTAGGAGGTGGGACCCAGGCAGCAGGATTTTTGAAAGCTTCCCAAGTGATTGTCACGCACATTCAAATATGAAGACCAAGATCAGAGAGGGTTGAAGAGCAGAGCAGTGCTGCTCAAACTGCAGTGAGCATGCAGATCACCTGGGTCCTTGTTAAAACGCAGATTCGGATCCAGCAGGGCTGGAGACAGGGAGCCTGAGATTCTGCATTTCTGACAGATTCCCAGGTGATGCTCCTGGTGCATGGACCACATTTTACAGAGAATGGAAAGACATACAGCTAGTCCAGACTTCCAAGGTAATGAAAAATGGCCCCATAGACTTTTTTCTTTTGTCTATAAGATCACCTTCTCTAATGGTTCTCAGAGTAAGTGTGTGGACTGGCCCAACTGCACCAGAATCACTTAGGCACTTTATACAGATACAGATGGCTAGGCTCACCACTGGAGATTTGGAGGCACGAGTAATATTAGCAGCATTACACATGTGCAGGGCTTTTCGTGTCAGTACCATATCCTGTAACCCTCACTGTATCTCTGTGAAGCAGGTGCACAGAGATTCAGGTTTAAAAAGCTGAGGCCTGGGGTGCCTGGGTGGCTTAATCAGTTAAGTGTCTGACTCTTAATTTTGGCTCAGATCATGATCTCAGGATCATGAGATTGAGCCCCCGTGTCAGACTCTGAGCTCAGCAGGGAGTCGGCTTGAGATTCTCTCTCCCCCTCTCCCTCTTCACCCCCCCCACCCCCTGCGCTCACTCTCTCTCAAGTAAATCTTAAAAAAAAAAATAAAAAAAAATGCCGAGGCCTAGAGGCACCTGGGTGGCTCAGTCGGTTAAGCATCCTACTCTTGATTTCAGCTCAGTTCATGATCTCAGGGTCATAAGATTGAGCCCCACGTCAGGCTCTGCTCTGGGCATGGAGCCTGCTTAAGATCCTCTCTCTCTCTCCCCCTGCCCCTATCTGCCT